TAGAAACTGCATGAGGATTAGGTGAATTGAAACTAAGCATTTAAATTATATCATTGAATATGACGGTGTGTAAAGGCATTGAATATACATAATTGATAGTCATTAAATATGACGATACTTTTAAACACATTGTATATGGATGATGTTTTGGGAGGAGAAAGGGGATGTACTCCATGTTTTGGGAGGAGATAGGAGATAGACTCCATTGAAATTAAGTTGGCCGGAATGTCTAGGGTAAAAGTCCCAAAATCATGTGTATACATGGGTGCCGATCTCACAGACGAAATTTTCATAAAATGGCAAGGTTGAAGTGCTTATATGATAATTATGTTGATTGAGAACCACTAAGTTGTAGTTTCAGTTTGGTTATTTGGAGAATTACAAATTTGGTCTATGAATTGAAACAAAATGAATTAACTTAAAATGAATAAATGGGAATGGATTGAGACGCGAATATTAGATCCATGTGCGTTGTCATAAATGTTAAATATATCTCTAATACTTATATCTTAGTTAAACCTCATATATTGTGATAGACTATTTCTATTGGACTTTGGCTCACCCTACTTGGGAAACCACTTTCAGGTACCGGTGACATGCCTCTTCTAAGGATGTAGCTTGGGAGGGCTTTAGAGCTGGAAGCTCTATTTTGTTATTTTGTGTTTAAGTGTTTAATTAAGCCGAGGGCTTTATATGTATGGAGCTTATGACCCTCCTTGTGTTGTAACCCAGTGCATGCCTTGGAAAGATGTAAGCCTGTAAGGCATTTATTTTGTTGTTATTAACTAATGTTACATGCCATAGATTTAGGATGAACATTTATGAATGTATGATGCATGTAATGTCTTTTGTAATACGAACTCTGATGAATGAAAATACACCCATTCTATTATACTCATTTCTCTCATGAATTGGATTATTTGTATTATTTTGGGGACGTTACACTCCATCTTGTATTAACAGCTTTGAAGAAATAATAATGGTGGTTGTGAACCTTCGAAGCTTTGCCGAGTATTTCCAAGGATGTAATTCGTCCTTTGTCGGCACTTTTGACCTTCGGAGGATGATTTTGGTCCTCTATATCACCTTTGAAGCTTGTTACTAGTCCATAATAGCTAGCATGTGTAACAGCTTGTTAAGGTGAATCATGTTTGAATACTGGCTTTACCTTGAAAATATGAGGTTCTGAATGATTCTAAGTGCAAGCAACAACAACCTACTTCAAAAGGTTCCCAGTTTTCTAAGTGTTTGAAGTACGAATAAAATAAAATTGTTTAATTTCCTTCAACGGATTGGTACCAATTCGAAGTACATATATAATATCTCTTCAAGGCATATATATATATATATAATTCGAGACATCTAGTCATAATTTCATACTCATTCGAAGCACTTTATTGGTGCTATTATATTATTCGAAGCATTTTGCTGATATTATTCGAAACACTTTATTCCTTAGATTAGTCATGTGCTTGGTTCGGCTCTTCAAAAATTCAAGTGAACATTATTTTTAAGGGCCGCGAGGCGTAATGTTGGCACCATAAATCTGTAATTTTTATTATTATTTATTATTTATATCATTTGGAGGTTATGAAATGTGAAAAGATGATGAAGAATAAAGTGCAGAATATGGAGCATGAAGTGGAGGTTGAAAGAAGTTATGAAAGATCATGTAGTATGAAATGGAAGAGGTGGAAGAGTGGGTAGTTTTAGGTAGTTTTTTCCTACAAATGTTTGCCTATAAATAGCCATTTATGACTACATGGTAAAGAATCCATAACTCAAATCAAAGATAATTGATTTCAATATTTCTTGTCATTTTCCTTATCTTAAGAGTAGTTTAACATAGATTTATATTTCGAAGCATTTATTTTCAGCATTTCCTTTTCAAAACATTTTATGCACTTCTTTTTCGAAGCATAGGAGTGCAGGTAAATAATTATTATTTTGATTGCTCATTCAATCGTCTTCCTCCGTCTCTCTCATTCTTCTTTTAATTTTTCTTTTTTCTATACTTGGCAATTTTGAAGTCCTCTTTGTTGAGGCAAAAGAACCGTCAACGCAATCGCTTGATAATTGGCTTGAATTTAATCTGTAAGAATTTTTCAATCCTTACTTGCATGCTCGCATTTACGGTATTTTCCTTCATAGAAAAAATAAGCCAACAACACCTCACTTAGATGTATCTAAATAGTAAAATATTTGTGAAAAAATATTTTAAAAACTTAATAAATATACAAAAATATGAAAAATGTATTGAATTTTCATATATATTTTTTTATTTTTGGTATTTAGTGAATTTTTTAAAGATTTTTTTCACAGATATTATACTTTTTAAGTGTATTTATGTTAAGTGTGTCCAAAAATTTAAAAAATTAGCTTAAAATATTAAAAAAAATTTGGTGAAAAAAAATACAAAAAATAAAAAAAATAAAATTTTCTAAAATGAAAATTCTAAAAACTAAAACCCAACAAAGTGATTACATTTCTTAATAAAATTATTAAATAAGCAAACCTAAACCATCCCTTAAAAACTTTTGAATTTTCATTTTTTTCATTTTTTATTTTTAATAATATTTTAAAAAAAGTTTTAGTAAATTTTTTAAATTCATCAACATAAGGCGAATTTGAAAAATAAAAAAAATTTGACATAATTTTGAAAAAAAAGAAGCTAAAGACAAAAAGTTTTTTAAAAAAATGTGACTTTTTTTAGAGTTGGTTTAGAGATAAAAATTACTTTAACTCAGGTTCAACATTCCACAGTCGCGAGGTCTTTACTCGAGGCTGGGGCTAACGTAGCCTAGTTCCCTTTTTTTTTTTTAACCAAAAAAAAAAATACAATTTATAATGTTAAGGATACTCAATATATTATGTAGAAATTAGAGAAAATTACACTCACTTCCCCTGAGATTTCTAATAAATACAAGGACCTCCCTTATGGTTTGAATAATTATACATATTTTGAAAAAAAAAAAATAGCTAAAGACAAAAAGCTTTGTAAAAAAATGTGACTTTTTTGGGAGTTGGTTCAGAGATAAAAATTACTCCAACTCGGGTTCAACATTCCATAGCCTCAAGGTTTTTACTCGAGGCTGGGGTTGATGTAGCCTAGCTCCGCCTTTTTATTTTTTTTTTTAACCAAGAAAAGAAAACACAATTTATAATGTTAAGGATATTCAATATATTATGTAGAAATTAGGGTAAATTATACTCACCTCCCCTAAGGTTTTTAATAAATACAGGGACCTCCCCTTTATTTGAATAATTACACAAACCTTCTCTACTTTACTTGAATTGTCAAGATTCCCTCCTATGTGAACCTCTGTTACCCTAAGTAACAGAACCTGCTGATGTCATCACTAATAAAGTCAAAAATACCAATAATGCCCTCAAAGCAGTTGATCTCACATATATATACCAAGCACAACACAAAGCTCCATAGTGTACAACTCAAAAATTTCAAGCCAAGAGAAAAACCAAAAAGGCAGTCAGAAGTGAATTAACAAAACCAAATCCCCACTTTCATAACAAACATAAATAAAAGTTCATATAATACAATCATAATTGCACAAAATCAAAAATCATAACAAAAAGAAGACCCAAAAAAAAAAAAATGTCGAACATGTAAAAAAAAAAAAGGCTTGTCTGGTTGACTGGCCAAACGTTCTGCAGGACATCCCCGCAGACGACCAGTCACCAAACATCTCCCAACCAGATTGCTCATTAGTTTGTAAAGGCGTACAAATTCGAAAAAGACTACAAATCAGAAAGAGACTACAAATCTAGAATTCCAAAATCAAAACAAACATGAGCGAAATTGACTGCTACTCTAGAAAACAAACAGGAATGAAGTATGAAAGAACTAGACTGCTACTCCAGAAAACAAACAGGGACGAAGTATAAAAGGTTTGAAATCTTACCTGGAAGACTGAAAATCAACTTCTCACAAATCAATCTCTTTCACATTTTGCACTAGCAACGATGATCTTACCAAAATCTCAAGGTTCTTTGTCGTTTGTTCACACTGATCGGTTTTCTTCAAAGATTTCGTCTCTCTCTTTCTTATTTCTTCCACAAATTCGATCGAAATCAGAATAAATAGTGAATTAGGGATTGAGGATATGAAGGTTATTATCGTCTTTTCGTGTTCAAAAGTAAGGGTAATAAGGTCATTTAGTATATGTAAGTAATGTTGTTTGTGCCAATTTGACAAAATGGGAGAACCTTGACAATGTTAAGCAAAATAGGGGAGACTTGCGTAATTATTCAAACCACAGAGAAGGTTTTTATATTTGTTAGAAACCTCATGTAGGTGAGTGTAATTTATCCTAGAAAGTTTGAAACTTATATTATTGTATTTTTTTCAAATATCGAAATAGATAGACTATTTTAGGAATTTTTTGATTTTTTTATAAAAAAGATATGATAAATCTATTATGTTAGGTAAGGGTATTTTGGTCATTTTAATTTGATTTGACACCATAAATAAATATTAAACTAAAAAGTAAAAAGTTAGCTTTTTACCAACTTCCCAAATCACTTCTAAAAAAGCCAAAAAGCTTGGTAAAAAACCAAAAGTCAGCTTTTTACCAACTTCCCAAAACAACCCGGAATGGGAGAACCTTGACAATGTTAAGCAAAATAGGGGAGACTTGTGTAATTATTCAAACCACATAGAAGGTTTTTATATTTGTTAGAAACCTCAGGGAGGTGAGTGTAATTTATCCTAGAAAGTTTGAAACTTATATTATTGTATTTTTTTCAAACATCGAAATAGATAGACTATTTCAGGAATTTTTTGATTTTTTTATAAAAAAAATATGTAAAAAAGTAGAGAGTTAATATGATTTAAAATATATAAAAAAAATAATAAATATACTATTTTAAATTGTTCCAAATAATCCCTTAGTGTAATTTATCCCAACCCCCAACCCATAGGCTCAAAGCATAGGGTCATCAAGGCTGGATTGAACCGGCCCAGTTTTTTCACAAACCGGAGACAATCCAATTACAACTAGGGTTTTAGGGACAGAGACACGCAGACGCAAACCCAAACCAACCAAAACGCTACTCCAACGTTGTGGAGAACCGAGGATGGACAAGAGCATGCTCGGAGATCTCGATTCTCTTCCCGAGGAAGACAAGTTAAGGATGTCCTCCATGATCGACCAGCTTCAGATCCGTGACAGGTTCTCAAATTGGTCTTCTTGTTTTCCCAGTTTTTTTGATTCAATGTTTGTTTTAAGTATACTATACTGCGTTGTGTTGTTGTTAATTTGGAGCATTTCGTATGTATATGGATTCTTATACCTATTTATTTGTGAAAATTTATATTCATATTTGGTTTTTGTGATGGTTGTTTGAGGTGGTCTTGATTTAATTGAGTCAATTTTGGTTGTTTAGGACCTGAGCTTTGATTTTAAAGTCCCAAGTAAGAGTCTTTAGTGAGGCTGTTAGCTAAAATTTTAACATTGACCCCACTAATCGAAACTATCGATTACTTAATTGGGTGACAAAATGGAGATCGAAGTTGATATTTTTTAGGGGAAGGGAGGGGAAGTAAACTAAGGCTTTGTTTGAATCGTGGATTTGGTTAGGGAAAGCGAAAATGTGGGTGAAAAGGTCGGGACTTGATGTTTCATTAACATTTACCCACCTTGGATTTTATATTTCATTTACATTTCACTCTTTATTTATTTATTTATTTCTTTTTTCTTTCAAAATTCCTACCTAAATCTATGATCCAAACATAGCCTAAAGTCATGCTGATGGGGTTTAACATCCATGCTGCTTAGGAGTTCCTTGCAAAGAGGTTTTGATGTGTCTTTCTCTGCTGCAATGGGAATGATAATTAGTTGATGACTTTAGGGGCTTGAATCTTAATTTGGAATTTGGGACAAAGATATTAGATCACACCTCAAAACATCAAATGAAATTTCAGAGGCTGCACCACAGGCCGTTGAATCATTGACAGCACAGGTCTCAACGTGCCTCCTGTATTTAAATGGTATTTATGAATTCGAATACTTTTTTGAGGATTTCTTTAGATCATTTGTTCTTGATATTAATTTATTGCAAATTTAGAAGGTAGAATTTGATCTTGTATTCCATATAATTCTATCTGTTATCTGTTGAGTTAGCTTCTTTCAGTTTTCTTTTATTTGTACTAGAAGTGTGGGCACACACTATGTGCGTGAAACAATTAGATCAATCATGACAATTATTTAAATTTGAAGCAATTAAACCTTTCAATCGCTCGATAATGATGAGAGTGGAATTGCAATTAAACCCCAAACCCACCCCCAAGTGTGTTATTCCCTTTATAATATAGAAGAGACAAAGTGCACATTAATTTCATACTGTTCTTCATCTTCTTGGCTTTTATTTATTATATTTCAGATTTAATCTTGTTTTACCTATTCTGCTTCTAAAATTTGTTTCAGCAAAAATGACATAAATAAACAAATGTTTAGTTAATTCTCCATCTGCAATTAATTTTTGTTAGTTTTCCCAGAAAGCAGTGGCTAATTGTGCTTCATCATCAAATCTTTACACTTATATTGATAAAGATCTCTAAGGAAAGCATTTCTATATTGTCCACAATGACACTCTTGCATGAACTTCAAAGAGTTATGGCCGTCAAATGACTTGGCAGAGGGAACCATGCCATGGTCAATACCCAGTGATGGCAGTAGCTTGTCTTTTATTCTCTTAACAAACTAATCTATAACTGCAATTTACTTAGTTTGATCCTCTTAATTGTTATCTGCTAATTATTTTTATACAAAGAAGTTGTTACTTGATGCTTTTGTCAAGTGTTAGATTTAAAAAAAATATATATTTAATTTATTCACACTTCAGTCTCCATTACGCTGTCTTCCTTCCAATGACTTCTGTATCCGTTTATCCTTTTCTGACATCTATCAGATTGCACATGGTTCAGCTTCCAAAATGCCGTCTAACAGCTGTGATCTTGTCAAAAATCTTTTTGTATTAAGTAAATCTATGCGACTTGAATACATAATGAAAATATACCTAGAATTATTTCATACCCCTAACTCATGACCCAAATATTTAGTAATTTTTTTTGATGTTAAATGTATGTTCACATTCAATGAAATTGCAGTCATCTTTTGAGGTTGCTGGTGTAGTGATAGATGGCATTGGCTATGATCTAACTGCACCTTTCTGCAGTTTCTGATCTTTGTGCCCCAAAATTTTTTATGCACCAGAACAATTTCTTTTGCTATTGTCTCTCTTTAAGAGAAGAATGATTAAAAATTATACTGTGGTGTGACAGTTTAAGCAATTTATTGACTTTATATGTGCTAATGAAAAATGATACTGTGGTGTGACAGTTTAAGGATGTACAATTCACTGGTGGAGAGATGTTTCACTGATTGTGTGGACACCTTCAGGCGCAAATCCCTTGATAAACAAGAGGAGACCTGTGTCCGCCGGTGTGCTGAGAAGTTCCTGAAGCACTCTATGCGTGTTGGCATGAGATTTGCGGAGCTCAACCAAGGTGCGGCCACACCAGATTAAGGTCTATCCAATACTTTTGGTAGCAAACTTTGTAACACCCGGAAATGGTTCATGCGGAGAATATTTCTTTTAGATAGTGAATTATTGTCCAGATTGTGTTATGCCCTCATTTCAGAAGTATAAGATTTTTGGTATCTGATAAGTTCTGCAGTTTACAAGAGATCTAATAAGTTTGGATCGTCATACCTTCTTGTTTAATGTACTCGGGATGAAACTGAAAATATGTTCTGGATTCATTGCTACTTGGATTTTGTTAAAATATTCACAAGAATTTATGTGAGGTGTGCTGGTTTTATTAATTTATTGTCCTGGTTGTTTAAATTTGTCTGCTTGTTTATTCTTCATCGCTATCATCATCTTCGTCTTCATTTCTCTAGGGTTGTGTTTGGACCATGAATTTAGATATAGATTTAGAAATGAAAAGGTAAAAGGCAAGTGAATATAGGTGAAATGTAGTTATTGCATTACCTACTTTTCTGTTTTTATTTTAAATTTTTACTCAAATTTATGATCCAAATACAACTTAGATATCAAACCCATGGGAGGGAAGGATTGTGAGAGCCTGAAAGGGCTATATGCTACAATTGGTCAATGTGTTCACTCATGCATATTGTGCTCTTTGCCATAGTAGAAAATTTTTACTTTGTAAGTTGGTGCATTTTGAACTTACCAAACCTTATTAGAAATTAAAAAATAATTAGAAACATTGAGGGAGGGCCGGTTTGGTGGTAGCATTTGGTAACGTTTACGTTTTTTTGTTTATATTTATAAAAAAATTATAAATTGGTTTTTCCTTATTTTTAGAAAAACAAAAATTACAAACACGTTAGTTTGAATAAAATGTTTAAAAAATTTTAAAAACATAAACTAAAAAATATGTTTATTCAGGTTTAAAATATTTATATTTATTTTTATTATTTATAACAATGGGATCACACACATTATAATTGAAAAAAAATTAATCAAAAAAATAGTTAAAAAAAATTAATTGAAAAAAAATTAATTAAAAAAATTTTAATTGGGGAAAAAAATAATTGAAAAAAAAATAAGTGAAAAAAAAAATTAATTGAAAAAATAATTAATTGGAAAAAAAATTAATTGAAAAAAATAAATATTTGAAAAAAAAATTAATTGAAAAAACTAATTATTTGAAAAAAAAATTTGAAAACTAAAAACGTTAACTCATTTTTTGAGTTTACGTTTTTTCTTCAAATTTATAAACTGAGATAACTATTTATAAAGTAAAAATATTATCAAACAAGTTTTTATGACAATTTTTAAAATTTTTATAAATATAAACTGAAAACTAAAAACAGGATGATTTAAACAGACTCATTTCGTTTGCAGTTTTCAGTTTATATTTACAAAAATTAAAAAAATTGTCATAAAAACTTTTTTGATAATTTTTTTTATTTATAAATGGTTGTCTCAGTTTATAAATTTGAGGAAAAAACGTAAACTCAAAAAATGAGTTTACGTTTTCAGTTTTCAACATTTTTTTTTCAAATAATTTATTTTCAATTATTTTTTTTCAATTAATTTTTTTCAAATATTTTTTTCTCAATTAAAATTTTTTCAATTATTTTTTTAATTAATTTTTTAATTAATTTTTTTCCAAATAAATTTTTTTAATTAATTTTTTTTTGCAAATAATTATTTTCAAATAATTTATTTTCAATCAATTTTTTTTTTCAAATAATTTTTTTTCAGATAATTTTTTTTCAATTATATTTTTCCCTAATTAATTTTTTTTCAATTATTTTTTTAATTAATTTTTTTTACATTTTTTTCAATTAATTTTTTTTCCAATTATTTTTTTTCAATTATAATGTGTGTGATCCCATTGTCATAAATAATAAAAATAAATATAAATATTTCATGCCTGAACAAACATATTTTTTAGTTTATGTTTTTTAAATTTTTTAAACATTTTGCTCAAACCAAACGCGTTTATAATTTATGTTTGTCTAAAAATAAACATAAACAAAAAACGTAAACGTTACCAAACGCTACCGTTTAGTTTTGTTTCCAAATTATTATTTTGATAAAAACAAACACACAAATATATTTTTGAAATTTTCAAAAATAATTTTCATTCCAAAAAAAATCATATAAAAATAACGACTTTTAATTTAGTTTTATTAACCAAACGAGTTCATAATTTTTTTAAAAGGAAATAAAAAATACACAAATTCAATCTATGTGTTGTACAAGTTTAAACTCGCATGGTGCAAGTCTAATCTATAGTGATATTTTTAAAAATTTTAAATTTTTTTTATGTTTGTAATTTTTAGTGTATCACTTAAATTATTTTTAATTTAAAAATATATAAATTATTTAAAAATTTTAGGCACATTTTGGTCAATTTCTTTTATGTTTTTATTTCCTTTAAAAAAATTATAAACTCTTTTGGCTAATAAAATCAATTAAAAGTCATTATTTTTATATGATTTTTTTTTTGTTGAGAATTTCAAAAATATATAATTTTTGTATGTTAATTTTCATCAAATTAATTTTTATATTTAAAAAATAATAATTTGAAAACATAACTAAACATAGTAATTACTTTTTACTTATTTTAAATTTTTATTAAAATATATTTAATATTTGTCTTATTTTAAAAGTATGTTTGCCATATTTTCAATGATATTAATTTTATAAAAATTGAAATTTTATATTAAAATTTATATATATATTTGAATTTTTTTGATGACTTAAATCGTACATATTATAAGATTTGTTGAATAAATTATTCATACAAAAAATAAATTGATTGAAAATTTATAACTTTATAACAAGAACACATTTGTTTTTTTAAAAAATAAACGGTTGATATTATCTTGATAAATTTTGTAAAACAATTTGAATATGATCATGGGGTTATGGATTTATGATTAACTTGATTTTTTTATATGAATGATATACTCAATGAACCGTATAATATGAATAGTTCGGATTATCGAAAAAGACTTGGAAAAAGCCTACATGATCTCACAGCAAATCACTACTGTGATTTAGTTACAGCAATATCCCCAGGTCCGAGTGTGTGTGTAGGGCGAGAGAGTAGAGAGTGAATGTGTCGAAAAGAGAGGAATCTAGTGGCAATGTGAGTGTGTTATAGAAACCTTTTTTTTTAAAGGAATAAATCTAAGCCACTCATCTCTCTGTGAATGACATGACCAAATCTAAGTTGTCCTCTAGAGGAAGCATCAGAGACAGCTACTGGAGATTATCTGAATACCATTTTATAATGGGTTCGATTAACCGGTGATTTTTGTTTTTATATGATATTACAAGTTTAAATTAATTATTCCTCCCGTTTCAAAATATTAGGTTGTGTTTGGTTGTGATTTCAAATCACAATTCCACACCTTAATTCAAGCATGGTGTTTGGTTGTGATTCTCAAATGATGTTTTGAGAACTCTGCACAGAACACCTGCATTGTCCTGTTTTTGACAGACGCGTTTTTTCTTTTGTTGGCGAAAATCTTGCTTGGCGGGACGTTCGACCGGTTGACCGGCCGGCTATCCAGAACAGTAATTTTTTTTATTTTTTAATTTTTTTTTGCAATTGATTTATATAATCGGAAAAAATATTTTTTGAAATTTTTAAAATTTTTTATGTACTTTAAAATAATTTTGAGTTGTATGTTTAGTTATGAGTTGTAAATTTCTGTATCACATATCAAATGCCACATCAATAATTCCCACTCAAATCAAAACTCTTTTCAAAACTATTTTCAAAACTCTTTACCAAATAAATTTTCTACACTTAAATCATAATTCCACAACACACAAACTCAAAATACAACTCATACTCTCAAATCACATTTACAAAACACAACCAAACGCAGGCTTAGTTTTTATTTTATTTTGGGTTAATTAGATATAATAATAATAAAAAAACTCAAAATTCCATGTCTTTCTATTTTAAATCTCAGTGTTTTAACTTCGACAAATTAAATTTTGAAATTCATTCCGTATTTCAATTTAAATGAGTTTAAAATGAAAAACATTGAATTTAAAGTGAAAAATGCATGAAACCTTAGAGTTTATTTTGTGATTAATCCTTTTTTGTTTTTAGTGATTTTCATTTTTAAAAATAGTTAATTACACAAAAATTTAAAGATTTCACGTATTTTTGTCACTTTAAACCCCTCCATTACTTTGCACAAATGGTGGTAGATAGAGAGGACAAATTGGAACATAGATGGAATTTCAAGGTTTAATTTGTCGAAATTGAAATACTAAGGTTCAAAGTGAAAAATGCGTGAAACCAAGATTTTTTTAAAAAAAATTAATCCTTTCATATTTTATTATCTCAAAATATTAGTTTTTTTTTTTCAAAGATCAAGAACTAAAATAACATGAATTTTATATTTTGTCCTTTTAAAATCAGTAACAATAATATTTTTGAAATGTCATAATTGTACTACCCAATGGTAGTTTTAAAAAATTCAGTGTGTTTGGTTTGAGTTTTTTGAATTAAGTTTTTTGAAAACTGAGTTTGTTGATTTTCGTGTTTTTTTTTTATTTTTAGTGAATATTTTTTAAATTTTAAACATTTTTTTACTTTTTTAGATGCACCTTATTTAGATGTATCTAAAAAGTAAAAAATTTGTGAAAAAGTATTTTTAAAAATTAATAAATACATAAAAATATAAAAAATGTACTGAATTCTCGTTTTTTTTATAAATATTTTTGGTATTTAGTGAATTTTTAAAAGGTTTTTTTCAAATTTTTTTTTTTTACTTTTTAGGTATATTTATGTGAGGTATGTCTAAAAATTAAAAAAATTGCTCAAAATATTTAAAAAATTCAGTAAAAACAAAAAAATACGGAAAATAAGAAAATAGAATTTTCTGAAAAGTATTTTTGAAAAATAATAACCAAGCATTATATTTTTAAAATGTAATAATTATACTATTAAAAAAAATAGGTTTCTAAATATATATATATATATATTTTGAGACGGAATGAATATAATTTGAGACGGAAGGAATATAATTATAATAAAAAATAAAAATATTTTTTAGGTACCTAGTCAATGGTTAATACTAGTTTAAGGATAATTTGTAAGAAATTGTTAGCTCAAGAGCATAATATTTTTTGAATAAAACTACTTCTATAATAGGGTGTTTAATATGTACTAAATTATTATATTTTTTAGTTTTTACGAAAAAAATGACATATAAATTAAATTTGAAGTGATGACAGAGAAGTGATATGACATAAATGAGATGATTATAACCAAAATAAGATAATGTGCTAAAATAACATGTGTTATTTTAGCACATGC